GCAAAGAAAATGGCCATGAACTGTTGAAAATTTTCATCGAAAGTAAAACGTGTAATGGTATGTTATGCACTTTTCCCCAGTACTTTTTGATATCCCACCATATGCTTGCAGTCCTCGAAGGAAGATCTCCTTCAACAGCCCCGCCAATTTCTGGTTGCTCTTGAGATTTGCTACCACTTGGGCTACTTCCCTGGTGCCTTTGCCTCTCGCACAGAGCGAATTCGGAGGGAGTTTTGACTTTTGGGTCTAAATTTTTGTTAAAAGTTAGTTTAACTAGCTTCTCAACTACTTTCAGAAGGCGTGCAAGTTGCTTTCGTAAGTTTTAATCTTTCCGTCGACTTGAAACAGTTATTTTTAGATGAAATTTTGGCCACAATGCATGCAACAAGCGGCAGCTGCACGCCCTTCTCAGAAGCGGTTCTGCTTGGAAAGTTCCAGTGCGCTGAGCTGCTTCTTCGAGTCGGAGCTGATGTAAACGAATGTGATTCCAACGGTAGGTCTCTGCTGATGCGTGCCGTAAGTGCTGGACTGGACGATGCGGCTGTATTTCTTCTGGATCATGGTGCAAATCTTTCAGAAAAGTAAGTTATAGCCAATATTTCTTTTCATTATGTGCCGTTACAACTGTTAATTTGCCCTCTGATTGCCAAAATTGCACATTGCGAAAATAAAGCCTACGTGGTCATCTTCTGGTCGGGCTCCACACGTTTTACTTCGTCTAGATTTTAAAGGATTTTAAAGGTTTGAGTAATTTTTATGGTCGTGTGCTTCAGTTTTTTGGCATTTTCAGGAAGAACTGTTTTGCATTGGCAGTTGAATTCTCACTTCTTAAAACAGTACGCCGTTTCTGTCGTCTCAGTGAAGAAGATGAAATCAGTTCATCGTTACTATGGACTGCTCTGCTGAGGGGTTGTCACTCTCTTTTTTCGAATTTTTCTCAACCAAACGTAAATATGAATTTCAAGTTTGGCGCTCTAAGCTGTGAACATATATTAAGTGATCTCTGAACTCATAATAATGGATCGATTGAAGAGAACATTGGAATAACAGAACTTATCCTCCGTTGAAGAGTTACCCGGATCTGCCTGCGAACGAAATATGTTTTCGACATTTTATCCGAAATTAATAAAGCGGGGAGGGGGTGGAATGGGGAGGGAAAGGTGAGGGATGAGTGATAGACTGTTATTTGTAGTCCGGTTTTCCAAATGTCACATTTTTTTGTGCTTGAACTTACCTACCAAATGATACTTTTAGCTCATCTGTAGGTGAGGCAGCGCTGAGAGATGTGTGTGTGAGTGTGTGTGCACGTATGTGTGAGTGTGTGTATGTGAGTGTATGTGTGTGTGTTAGATGCTCC